AGCATGGATTTTTAAAAAAATAAACAGAGCAAAAATTTTATTAACAACAACACCAAGGAGATGCCATCCAGTATACAAAATTCAACAGCATGAATTTTATGTGCTCTTTCCCTGATTTTATCTTAGCTTCTGTTTCTAGTTTATGTTTCCAAGCTTTTATATTCCGTAATAAGCTTATAAATATATAAAGGAGAAGACAAAAAGAAAAAAAAAGGGATTTGTTAAAGAGATAGTATCTCCAAGACCTATGATGAAGCGCCTCTACATAATGAAAGCACCTTCTGCCTAATATCATCCTTAAATTTAATATACAACTGTAACAAGTCCAAAGTTCCATTATTTTAAGAGTGAAGTATGATTCTAAAAGAAAAAGTAGACACGCCATTCAATTTACTGACTAACTATAAGATTTATCAGTTTGACATAAAAAATGCATCAGCAAGTACAAAGATCTTATGTGCATAGAAAACAGGCTTAGAAGAACTAGAAAAAAATAACAAAATTTGAAGGTCTACTGGTGTAAATTTCTACAGCAATATAATAGGATTATTTAGAAGTCTCAAGATCCATATGATTCGTGCACATTTTTTTTAAAATAAATTCATGCACATTTATTATGTACCTGCAATTCATGAAACTGTAATAAAGAAGAACTGAGGCTGAATAATTAACTTACATGAAGATCACCAGAAAGAAGCATAGATACATTGACAAGTGCAGCAAGTCACGAATAAGCTCCAAGTAGAAGGTGTACACAGCCTTTGTTTCCCATTGTCCTTCCATGAGCATGTCACTCACATAGAAAACATATTTTATAAATATTGACACTGTTGTTGTTGCTAGTATCATGTACCTAAGATAGAAAGCCATTAGATATCACTGCAATGAAAAACACTACCAAACGTACATCCAGTGCACACCCCTGATCACTATAGAAAAGAACTAAAATCTGGTGAATGCAAACTTCTGTTTGGTTTTCACACACCTATAAGTTAAGAATAACAAGCATACCCATCCTTGCCCCAGGCCCCCAACCAAAAATAAATGAACAAACAAAATAAAACTTACAAACAGTCACAATCATCTATCTTAAATATTGAGAACTAAACATAATTTTGTTGAAATAATTTTTTTTAACAAAGAACTAAACATAATTTTTAAACATTGAAATCGTAGATATTTTCATCATTAATCTTTCCAGGTTCATAATTACATTTCACCATTACCAGCTTACCACATACCAAGGGTAGCATAACTATATGTTTAATTGCCTTGGGTCCACAAGGTAACAATAATATTTGAATATTCACTACCTTTTCTTTTTATTTTTTTCCTGGATGCCATGTTTTCAACTTAAAATACATCAAAGAACTCAGAAATCATCTTGGTCATGTCGACTGTCAAATTTTTTAGTCTTATACGGAAACAAAATTTCTCCACTATAAACATCATGCGGTATATGTGAGCCATAAAAAGATGGTTCACCAATCATGAAGAGATAAAATCAAGCAGCTCTTTCTTTTTTGAGCAACTGAAGCATAATGTCGACCCAGCTGACGGGATAGTGTGTGTGTGTGTAAACAACCACTAGAAAGAGACGAACTTACTCAAATGAGAAAAAGAGAGATACTGAAGCCTGACGTGTTTGAATCAAATACTTGACAGAACTGTATAAAAACAGAGAATCTAGGAGGAGGAGGAAAGCCATAAAAGAAACTATCCGAGCGTGAGACAATATGGGAACAGAGGGGGTTGTTTCGATGTATTCAACTCTTTTCTGAGCCAACCAATGCAAAGCCTTGATTAACAATAGAGCTGTGACCATAGCAAGAAATGTAACTGAGAAGTCCTGTCTGAAAATAGTTATTGCAAAGAGGATTTCCATGACCTCCCTCCATGATTGCTCATTCAACCTCTCCACCTCCGCTTCTCGAAGGGAACCCAGAAAGACCCTTTTGGTTAATTGCCACAGAGTGCACATAATGACCAAACCCATGTTGAGAAGAAGCACCAAGCTGATCTTAGACGTCGATAAATAAACCATTGCAGGGTAAAATTGGCCTCTACTGTTAAAAGCATGATAAACAACCGCTATAGTCGCAAAGAGACTAAGACTGGCATATGTACGCAACCGCATCATCCTTCGGTTCCCCTCCCTGCGCACACCACACCGACATCATTACACGAAGAAAAGAAAATAACAGAGAAGCTAACATAGAATCAAACAAACAATGACAAACAAGAAGATAATCGATAACAGAAACAATGATGAAACAAGGAAAAATCCAGATCAATGACAAATCAAAAACAGTTTCACACGAGAAGCCCTAAAGAACTTTCAGATTTTTAATAAGGCCATGGAATTTCGAAATAGCAAAGAGTACCTCAAAGATGCCACCCAGGAGAAATTATCTTTCTGACAAGCAAGCAAATCCCGAATCTCGTCAATGTCTTCCCAACTTCCGCAGCTCGCTTCCTCTTGAAAAGATTGGTACGATAATTTAGAAGAAAAAGAAAGAGAAAAACTCTGGACGTCATTGCCGCCAATAGAAAGTTGCCACGTGTGCTTTCCGTAAGATTTTTCATGTCTACCAAAATACCTTAGATTATTAAAGTTTCAAAGGATTGGAGTTTAAAATTTAATGTTCAAAATTTAAAAGAAAAAAAGTAAAAATTATTGATAACATCATAGAACAACATTTTTTTAGAGAATAAAAATAAAAATTTTAATATTGTAATGGAAAGTTTTAATTTGAAACTAAAATTGAAATCATTTCCAATATAAAAATTATATTACAATTTTTATCTATTAATTTGTTAAGTAAATGTGCAACAATTATAATCAATTTTTATATTAATGATATAACATACTTAAATTGAGAATATATATATACATACTGTAATTTATTTAAGTCAATCATACAATAAAATAATAAACCTGAATTTTAGTTGATGTCAAATTTTATTTAACATCTTCGGTTCTTTTTTGCATTTTTAAAGTTACAGTTTAATCTTCAAACTTTAGGATTTTTTTACATTAGTAATTGCTTATTGAGAAATAATTGAAATAGGAAACTAGATGATTGTTTTATGTTCATTTATCACTTATTATTTAGTTTATGGATGTAAGGGTTGTTTTATTGACGTTTTAAATTAGAAAAAATAATGTGATGCATGTTGTTTGCGCGTGAAACAAGAGAAGCGAGAGGCCATTATACCCTTTTTGTGTGTATTTGTTTTGTTTTATGAGCATAAATGATAGTTACAAGACTTTAGGATTAAAAAGTGAATAATAAAGTATATTCATCACGTGATGTTTGATAGATGATGTATCATTAAAAAATCTTTTCAATTAGTGTTACTTTTGGTTTAGCTTTTATTTTGAATACTTAGTTTATTATATTTACATATTTGATATTTTAAATCAGTGTGTGATTTACATATTTAATCCCACCATAAATGATCTAATGGAGCTTCTTTTTTTAATTTGTTGAGAATTCTTATTTTCTCATATTTTTATCCTGCATCACAATTGTGGCAATAATTACATCACTAATAATAAGATGGGAGGAAAAGAAAATAGATAAATTCCTTATTGTGAATTCTCTTACTCACATATCCATGAGGTGGAGCGCATGTGAGCACATTAAGGGTAAAATGTAAGGTTTCATGACATGGTCCTTCTTCCTTGTCTTCTTTTCCTATTTCAGAAATTTTGTTATCCTTATATTTATATATAAAAGCCACAAATTTTCTCCTACTAAGGCCAAACTTCAAGCTTGACTTTTTTTATTTTGTGCACACTTTCCCTATAAAACATAAGAGAGAAATAGTGACATAAGAGAACAAACTAGAGAAGAAAATCAATAAGATAAATCCTAGCTAGCATATGGGTTTTTTTTCCATCTTGTTCACTCAAGCAATATCATGTTATTTTGAATATTTTGGAGAGTATATACATGTGTTCTTGTCTTATACTAAAATAAAAGATTGCAAATTGGGGCAATCTTTTATTCATTGGAGCAACTTTGTAAACTTCATCCAATGTATGGAGCTCTAAATGGCTCAATATGATAGTTGATTGTTTATATGTATGTTTATATTATATTTTATTCATTATACAATCTTTCTTTTATTTTAACTTATTGTAATTAAAATTTTGAAATATTTATTGTATGATTCCTAAAGAAACTTATAATTGTATCGTAGTATAAATTTGTTTTGTATGAACATATTTTATTATGCAATTAATTGTAAAAATTTAAAATTTAATGTTGTGTCAAAGTACTATACATGGTCACTTATAATTTTATATTATAATTTTTCTTTTGCTACTTTTTTGAACGAAAAATTTAGACAAAATCAAAGTGTGTTTCTTGAGATTTATTTATAAAATTTATCTTAAAGAGTGAGAGTATCATGACTAATGAAGAATTTTTCCTCCAAGGTTGAGACATTAGTTTTAATGGGAGGATAAAATTAAAATTCTCATACATATATATATATATATATATATCTTTATTTATTTGCTTGCATCAAGTATCTAAAACTATTTAGAATATATATTATAAAATAATTTCAAGGTTTGATTCATACAAGTAGGAGAAAAATTAGGAAACGTGAAAAAGAAAATTTCTACTCATTATTTATGCCATTTTTCACAAGTTTTGGTAGTTTGTGAATTTTTAGGCATTCATGTGATTTTTAGATTGTTCATCACCAAATCTTTATGATTAAGAAAAATTTCAAACGAGCATGTTCACTAGTTTTTTGTCAAATGCAGTGGTAATATAATCTGAGTACATTCTTGCAAGCAAAACAAACTTTGTTTACTCTACACTTTCTTCAGGTTGTAAAAAATAATGTAAAAAGTAACTACAAGTCCATCATTCTTAGTATAAGAAAATAACATCATTAGATATTTTATGCAAATAATCTCAAGGTCCATGACTATCGTAAATTTATAATATAACTTTTTTATGAAATTGATCTAAATGACATAAGTATATGTTTAACTATTGATGTTTGACAGTGTTAATGTCTTAGGCAATCATGAGATAAAATAGATGAAGGAACATGTTAATATAACAACTATTAACAAGAAGGTTATTTATTTTTTCGATGAACTTTATTGTCATTTAGGATCCACTGATATGTTATTGAAGTTGGATCCACTCTCTATGTGCTTAATATAACTTATTAATTTGAATAATGACTTATATTAAAATAAGTATGATTAATTTACAAACATAATTTCAAAGGTTATAGTAAATTTCATACTCATTTTCTAGTTGGACTAGGTTGTAACTTCAATATAATTTCTCTAAGTTCATCCAAAGTCTCTTCAAACTCTCTAAAGCCATGGGCTTATGTAATAAATCACAATAATCACTGTTATATACATCTAGAGCTGCCTTATAGAGGCTAATTGCTGAAAATTTATAAAGAAATGCGCACACCAATAAGAAGTTTCCTAAGTCAATCATATAACTCCAATCACCATCAGTAAAGGTAGACCGACGTCAGAATGTAGTTACTCATTTTTTAATCCATATTGTGGGTCCAAAAAAGAAATAAGTAAAAGATTGGTTACGTGGGTTTTCACACTACCATAGAATAATCCCCCACCTAAATTATCATATAAATCACGACTTGATGATAGATGAACTTATACATACTATTAATCTCGCTTCAAGTTTTTGGGTTAGTAGTTTGGTGGTACAAAGTTGGTGGAACATTTAGAAGCTGACTATAATGCTCTAACTACACCTAA